GGGGATACGGGGGATTCAAGAATTCTTTTCATCCCTGACTTGATGGCAGTTTTTTTTGAAGAACCCGGTAGCAGTCTCGAAGAGCACCCACGCCAGCCCAGCAGATTCTGCGAGCCTGCGAGGTCGAAAATGCACTTCGAAGATCTCGAGTTAATGAGTATATAGCGCACACGGCCTTAAAACCCCTACTGTGGCCACAAGCAGTTGCCATTGCCCTTTACATCCCTCCTCCATCCTGGGGCACTGAGGCGCCCTGCCAACCGCAAGGCATGCTCCGTCCGCATTTGTGCGTCCATGCTGTCCTGCGAGCGGTCACGGGCTAGCTCCACATGAAATGGAGATGGAGTGAAGGTAATGGAAGACTTAAGCGCATGATTTTGCAAACTGAAAAACAGCAATGACAGCATGAAGAGCTGAAACTCAATCATTCCGAACTCAAAAATCCAGTGATGAAACAAATCCTTAATCTTTGTAGCGCTTGAAATGAGCGAATTCGATCCGTCCCGACCCAGAAACGACGAAAAAAACGCGTCCTGCGCACGGCGTGCGAAGAGGATGGGATCATGTTGTAGATCTTTCTCCATGAAGGTTCCCCGCAAGACCTCACCGGATAGGTGATCGGAATGTACCGGCGCTGGTGTCTGCTGGCGCAGATTTCGTGAAGAATGCTGGCGCGGGTTGCCCGGTTTTGAGGGGGGTCTGGTGTCAAGTGAGGTTGATGCGAATGTCGTTGACCATCAGTCAATTCTGAGAACTTGCTTATCATTGTACTTGCATGTATGCGATCTTGCAAGTACAAGGCTCGCCAAAGAGTTACTCAAGCAAGAATCATGATGGTTACGTGTATGCTATGGCCCCCTAAAGGATGACCATTTTCCAAATACGGTGGTTTTCCACTTCCACGATTTTTCCTAGGAGTGTACCCAAACCAGGGTTATGTTTTGGAATGAGACGAGCCAGGTCATGGTGTCCGGGGTCTCAGTAGTTCTTGCGAAAAGAAATCAACAAGCAGCGCCAAGTGCTCGACGGGCCATCCAGCCATGTCGTCGAAGTCCACTGCTTCATCTGAGCAAACGAAGAGTGGAGCAGGTAGCAACACCTGCTTTGTGACCGGAAGGTCCAGAAACGGAAAACTCAGTCGCATTCTCAGCAGTCGGAACTGATCTAAAACATCATGATACACCCCAAATCCCAACATATATATATATACATATATCCCAACAAACTTCTCAGGACACACATGGATCCTTATAGGCAGGGCCACAACGCAGAATTCTATTCAGCACTACTTCAACACCGCAAAGGACGGCCGCAGCTTCACAAAAAAGAACATTAACATCATGGTCTATTTGAATCAGTGTGTTCAGTTCTAAGTATATAAAGCCCAGGGACGTTACAGGACCCAGGGTGGTGCCGTACAGTATGGCATATGCCCTCTGTGAAGCAAACATCAATGACCAGCTTTACCGAATTGGAACTTATAGGTTGCAAAGATCTGCTGCTCTGTGAGGTTGAACATGCCCCACATTGGTGTCGCTCGCCCACTGCATCTCTGTTGAATAGCAGGTCATCCTGATCTTGTCGGACCACCTCGCGAGGATCTCTGCAAGCGAGGATCGCCTTCACCCTTCACTCCACTGGGGGATTCGCGAGGGATCTCCGCCACGCGCGAGGTCCGAGAAGTCGCAGCCATGTCGTCGGTCTTCTTCGAAGTCATCGGTTCGGTGAGGCCGTAGAAGTCGCAACGAAATGGTCACAGAGCGGTTTGGCAGGTCGGTCGACGCCTCCGCAGGGCAGGTCTGGAGGCTGGTCCGCAATGCGCTTGGGCACTGGAAGTGGAGCGAGCACGGAAGGAAGAATGACCGGACCTCTGTGCTGAGGCAGCTCCGCAGCACGAGGTGTCAAGTTAAATCAGTCAGCTAAGCTCTTCAGCATGAAAGACAGGGTGACCAGTGACCTCACCCACTGGGGGACATCGCCCCGAGTCTGCTGATCACTTGATGTCAGGTTGTTGCATGAATCCTGTAGATATCTTGGATACATCATCTAGCGTAGTTTCTTCCTTCAGCTAGATATCTCACGATACTCTACGTAAACTGATGCATGATGTGCAAACATGATGTAAAAAAAACATGCAATGTTTGTAACGGTATGTTGGAAACATTAAACACACTTGACTTGCGAACAACTAAAACAACAATATATTACATGCATCCTTATTGGAGCTGTAGATGGAAACGGTTGCAACCTGCTTTGGAAAGAGATCCGCGTCCTATGCCTGGCTCAACACCCCTCAACAAAACAAACATAACAAAAAGTGATCACAAACACTGTGTTTTACAGTGGACATTTTGGCTGCGGCTGCAACATCACAAAAACCTGTGTTGAGCTATGCGTTTGCTTAATATATTTTTTCTTAACCGCACCAATGATCAAACACAGCGTGTTTTGCTTCAATTTTTGCAGACCAGGCCGACCGAGGTTTAGAGGGAATACCAAAACAAAAACAAAACAACATGTTAAACAAACTGTTTGTCTTCGACCCCACCCGAAAAAGCCACCAATAACGGTTTACGCTGCGTCGTCGTTGACGCTCCAGCTGGGAGTTCCAAGCCCAAGGACGTGAGCTTCTCGTGCATGTGAAAGTTGCCCACCTCAGGACTGTGGATGGAGCTGAGGCGGCCAGTGAAACCTCGAGGCGAGTTTCAGTGAAACGGAGGGTCCATATACCCATATCCTTCAGTGTTGGGCGGTCACGGATGTGTTAACAGTGGAATAATTATAGTAGGTTATAGAGTTATAGACATAGAGCTGTAGAGCATTGTAGAGCTATAGTTGTTGTGTGGTTTCTCTTTGTTTTCATGTTGGGAGGTCAGTATCCGATGATTTTGAAGACACATATATTTAGATGGTCCATGACACATGAGGGAGCTTTGAAGAATGAATGTTTGAGGTGAGATAAATGATCTAAGGGTTGACCTGTTGACCAATTTATATTCAGCTATTTAGATCCGTTTCACTGGATCCTAGTGGAGGATAGCAACTATGATACCAACAAACACGTTTTGCAGGAATATCAGTTCCAGGAATATCCCACCACTTCTCAGTCGAGCCAAAACCCGTCGTTCCAGTCTCAGCAGTCCGTCGAAGCACGACGTCTGCTGGGAGAGAAGTTGGATCGATGCTAAACACAGCTAAGGACCGGAATGTTTACCCTGCGAACACATCACATGGAAAATGATGGAACATGATCTCTTGGAACACCTACTTCCTCTACCAACAGTGCCTTTTCCACGTCCATATCAGTGAGTCTACATGTTTGTGGTTAAAAAGGGGTCTATGTATAGGTACATATGCCAGTCACATGGAGTGTCTCGGAGAGAACAACTACTTTGGCGACAATTGTCCACACACGAACCAGAACATATGGAGAACATCGGGGTAGATTGCAGCATTGTGTTAATTCATGACCTGAATGAGTGGCGACTGCAGCAACTTGGCCGCGCACATCCACTATCCACCGATGCTTTGCGGGGGAAAACTTCTTCAGAAATATCGAAATATCATCATTATGTAGACTCTCACAAAACCCCAATTTGGATAGGGACTGGGTTTCTACGTCATCACGCAGAAGATGTCAGTAGGTTGACAGCAACCTTGACTGATCACCGCATTGTTGTGGCATCACATGATCATTTCAACTTGGCCCCAAATTGGATGCTGCTTGGACCTTGGACCCTCCAAACTTCCCCAAGCACTGAACCTAGTCTAGAAGCACTGAACCTAGTCTAGGATCCCTGGCTGGGTCTCCTGGCTGGATTACACTACTTAGGGATCTCCAGGACACCCAGCCAGGATGGTCCAAGTGTTCTAGGACACCAAAGGATACAGTGGATTCCAAGTGTTTTGCTCCCCAATCCGGAGCAATTTCTTCTTCCCAATCTGGGCAACAGGGGCATTCTTCTTGGTTCGCGTCTTGACCATCTTCTTCCAGGGCTCGGCCTCGCGACAACGAGCCGACCTGTCGACGCATCTGTTTTCGCCTGATTCGGAGCAGTGAAAAAGAGACCATATTTCCCAGAAGGGGATTCACCCATATAGGGAAAATAGAACGTCACCTCAAGCAAAAACCAGGATCATGATGACGTTAAAAAAAAAAAAAAAAAAAACTTACAACAACAACAACAACAACAACCACAACCACAACCACAACCACAACCACAACCACAACCACAACCACACACTTCAGAACAGCCCAATGTCCACGTGAATTGGAAAGGGGCTGTGAAATTCATTGAACCGGAATTGGTCCATTCAGATCTTATCCCATTTCTTTCGGCTCTGGTTGGAGAAGATAGGTTGAAGCCAAATACAGTATTTTCAGAGTAGATGGCACTGGCCCTGGCACACCAAGATATCTTTTAGAAGGGGGTCCACATAAACCACCGTCACTTGGGGGCCCGTGTGCCATCGAACCTCTGAAACCACTGAAGCCCAAACCCGGTGAGAAACAACCGCGGTCAGTTGTGAGGAACCTCCGTGCTGTGACGAAGCCTTGGGACACATTCCAGTCTGAAGCAGTGGATCCAGTCTCAAGCTACATCACATCTGGAAAACGAATACAGACATGCCGATGCCCATGCTAGACAAGGTACGAAGAACATCAGCAGTTGCATGTAATTGCCCAAGATCTTCACCCATATAGCTAACGTCCCTTCACTCACACCTCATCCATCAGCCTTCCTGGCGCACCTCGCGCCACTTCAGAAGGGCTCTGTATTCTTTCCCAATCTGCCGAGGGCGGGTTTTTGACTCAGAGGCGAGGGAGTTAGCTACTGGTAGCAAGACGCTACTATACGAGGACATCGCAAGTAGGTTGGAGGCCATCGCTACTAATAACAATAAGAAGCTACTAGTAGCTCCTGGCATTACTACAAGCTACTAGGTGGAGGCCATCGCTATTAGGTTGGAGGCCATTCCTACTGGGAACAAGAAGCTCCTGGTGGTTCCGCACTCCCCCCCCTCCCTGATCTAGTCCAAGCCTCCTTAGAGTCGAAGGGATTCATCAAGAGCCGAGTTTCAGGGCCCCGGTAGTTGGGTGGGGCCCCTGTAGTTGGGTTTGACTTCATCCTTAGGATGATCCACTACCACCATCTGAGTATCCATGGCTGATGTGTTCGCCACTTCTGATGTGTTAGGCGAAGTGAGGGTCCAGTAGTGCTTTGGTTTCGAAGGTTGCCATATATATATATATATATAGGGAGTCCATTGATCCCCAGGGCCCACGGTCTATAGATGTACAACCATACTTCGAATGATTTGTCTAAAGTAGCTTTTCATGATGCTTGTGTATCAATAGCAAATGCTCACTCAACCTGGAATTGCTTATACACACATTTGCTCAACTAAAAGGGGATTCCGTTTAACATCCTTCAACCAAACTGCAACGGGCAATGGAAAACATCTGAAGGTTCTTCCAAAGAAATAACATGAAATAACCAAACATCTTGAACACGACAGTGAGCCTCAGCCTCAGGTACATGAGAGGTTCCGCCCCGCAGGAGCATTGGATGTTGCAATAAAACTTTAAAAAGTCCAGTGATTTACCTCCGGCGGCCACCTGGCAGCGGCTAGGATATATCGTGATTGATCATTCAAAGAGAGTCCTGCCCCTAAACCCATCAGCAACACAATTTGTCCCTGATGTTGGTTGATGGAGGTTTGCAAGCTCTACAAGAGAGCGAAGAAGCACCACACACCCCTTTGCCCCCATCCAAGTCAGCTCTCTTCCTGCGATCTGGGGCGTCCAGGCTGTGGCTTTCACTTCCGCCTCCACTTCCTGTGGCTTTTGGGCGGACTCCAATGGCATGAGCTGAGTCAATTCACTTACCTGGAGTGTTATATATGTCTTGTGCCTTGTTGGTCTGGTGTCCCGGTCCGCTTCGAACCCAAAACTCCAAAGACCGAACCGGTGAACCACCGGGGGCCACCGGTGAACCACTCTCAAGCAACGCAGTCTGAAAGGGACGATCCATGCCTTGCGGAAGCTGTCTGAAAGGGGATCTTTGGGGATCATTAACTGGTCTATAATTAGGTTGTCTGGGTGTCTTTTGGAAGCCGAGAAGAACCTATGGTCTTTCACCCAACGAGCCAACCTCACAGATAGCCACCCCTTTACCTTCATTGGTCTACTTTAGAAATAATTCATGGTCCGTTGAATACACTGTTTCATAGCACGGCCCGCCATTTCTTGTGAAACAGCTCGGCTCAGAGAGGCACAAAGCAAAAAAACGAGACCATTGCCTTTCGCCACATATTTTTGACTTATAGATTTTACAGAAACCCCGTACCAGGGTAGGACTCTCATCTATAGGCCAGCCTTTTCTATTTATCAACAGTCAACAGCGGTCCGCTTCCGCTGGGAGACCCATGTGGGTGGCGTCGTGTCTCGTCGTGGTGGCAGGTGGTGACTGACCTGCCTGTAGAGTCGGGTGCTGGCATATATAATATATATTAAACATGCTATATATGAATATCAAACTGGTGCAAACACATATTAAACTGGTGCAAATACGTATTAACCTGGTGCAAATCTAATATAGATTAGTTAGTACAATATATAAAATATAATATAACAACGTATAACGACGTAATTATCGTTGAAAGTCAGGGTCACTCAGAAAAGCACTTCACCCCCACAGCCAGGAACAAACGTGTATACACGGTGTTTTTCTTCCACACGTCTTCTCGATGTGTCAAGTCTCGTCCCGTCTCGTCCCTTCTCGTCCTTCGTGACTCGATTGGATCGCCGGTGTTCTCCTGACCTTGTCATTGGTTTCAAGGTCTGGATCCAAGAAGTCATCCTGGCAAGCGAGGGACGTGGCGCCGAACGAACGTCGCCACGCGATGGACGGCGTCCTGTGACCGGCCGAGGAGTCGGAGTTGGCTGGTTCGTCCCATCGGTGGATGGGCACCCCGACTTCCTCTGTTCGTTCGGCACCCCGTCGAAGGTGACTCCTGGTTTGCTTGTTTGTTTGTTTTTGTTGCAAACGGTATGGTTGAAACGGTACTTGGAGTCTTGTCCCCGTGATCGAGGTGGACCCAGAGTCGTTTTGCTATTTGCTTGACTAGAGTCGGGGCATTGGAATGGGTAGAAAGGATATGAAACATCCCCTGACTGCCTAAGTGTCCCAAAAAGATCACCTGAAATTAGTGGGGCAACCCATACCCCCAAAAGGCTATATACATATATAAAGTTTATCAACGTTTCGGGAAGCCAGGGTGAACAAAGTACTTCTGGACTGGGCTGGTGAAAAGGGAGGAGATGGCAAGAGAGGTAGAGAGACCTTGTAGGACCCTGTAGCGGTACATATAATGGGCATGGATGGGCTGGGCAACCATCCTGAGCGAAAAAACAATACCCAAACATGACGGAGTCGGACTGGCATATATAGCGATTAGTTGGGGTGGTTGAGAAGGGATCAATGTATATTCCACAATTGGAGTGTCTGGGATAGAGAGGAGAAAGACCGTGGCGGATGCCAAAGGGTTTCAGAAACAAAAGCCATTGGTTGAGGGCTTCACCTACACGAAGTCTTGGTCAAAGTTTGCTGCTCTCCAAACGCCCAATAGAAAGTTTCACCACCTATAATCTATAATTTTGACTGTTGACTAAACAGTCAACAGCAAGCTTCCTAGGTACAAAGTGCTTCGTGGATTGCACAAAGCGTTTGCTGCTTCCTGATGTCACAGCATGACACACAACAAGGGCTCCTCTGGAGCTGGCTCCTCATGGATGTCCTTGCGCTCAAGAAACCAAGGCAATGCTGGGTCATGCTGTGTCAACCAATGTGGCCAACGAAACATGTTATAAAAAGACTGTCAGACTGTCATAAGATAGAAAAGTAAATCCCCACTTAAAACGTACAGGATTGGGTTGCCAGTACAATCGTCTCGGTCTGGACCACTCCGCCTGGGTTAAAAAAAAAACGCACGTCTGGGGGACGGAACCTCGCGTCCGCTTACGTCTGGCGACGCCCGAGACAGGCCAGTGAGGGTGCGTTTGAAGGCCGTTTGGCCAGAGGTGGGGAGGGAGCATGAGACAAGATACCATTGGTTTTGTGCAATACAGCTTGCTGTTGAGGTAAGGCGTTATGTTTATAGATGTTTTTCTGATTATCATGGTGAGGCCCGAAATATCGCTTGAACTGGGAGGTGCCAATACGTTCTATATTTTTTGCCAACGATCCAAGCCCTGTGGAGTAACTGACCTCCAGTCACCCCCCTTTTCAAATATCTCTAGTCCCACATACGGTGGATCCAGGATGGCGTGTTGATCCCATGCAAGTGGAACTGTGCATCCCAAACTTAGTTTTATCCAGCCACGGGAAAAATCCAAGAACAATTGGGATGCAAATTGGAATATTTGGAGTTGTCACTGGAACTCTATATAAAATGAAATGTCCATATTGTTTCTTCATGTTCACAAATTGGACGATGTGGAGTCCCAGCAACCCTCGGACAAACACCCTGGAACTTCTGCACATAAGCATTCCCTAAAGTGTACTATACAAAAACTAACTCTATAATATGTTTAAATAATACATATATAATGTATAGTAACATCCCGGAAAAAAAAAGAACAGTATCTAGTCTGAAACCTAGGATTTATCCCTTCACCCAAAAAAACATATGCGATTTATCAAGGGATTCCTAGTACTGAAACAATGTTTATTTCTGGGTAGCCACAACTTGTAAATTATTTACAGTAAGTGTCAGGTGAGTCAGGTGGTTTGAGATATTGGCCTGCTGGTTTAAATGGATGAGCTGATCAGCAGAAGCAAAACGATCTTTCCTAGGAACAAATCCTCATCTGTCACTTCTGATGCCTGTTTGTCTCCTACCCAAGTAAACCAAAAAGGTGGTGTATACTTTGAGCCCTATTGGCACAAGTTTTATCCAAATCAAAAACGATCACACCTATGGGAACACAATATCCCCTACTTCATTTGATAAGAACGTGTTTACATTGTCAAATCCATCCAAGCTCCACGAACCAGCGTTAAGAACGTCAACACTAGCACAACGATCACTAATCCATCAGTTACGCACCCTTTCAAGATACAATTTTTTGTGACCTACCCTAACTAATCTGTCATTATCTGCACATCATATCCCCTTCCAAAGCTCCTCCTGCACAGGTATGTTGCCGACGTTTGGTGCTATACAGTAAACTATATATCTACTCGCTTGTTGGGCCCCTCATCGGATTTGAAGCCTCTGGCTCCCCCGTCCTCAGGTGGTTGCCCATCAAAGATGTCTGCCGGGCACAGCACACAAAAGTTGCAGCCACGTCGGAGAAGGCCGATGCTGTACACCCTGCGCGAACGATGCCAGAACCGGTGATTTGGTGCAAAGCCCTCCACACTGGTTTCTCAGAACAGCCTGAACAAGTCATGAACAGTTTGTGTGCAGAGTATATTGTAATATTGCGTATTGTTGCTATTGAGGTCACTATCCTGAGGTGTTTGTGGATAGTACTTCAAATCCATCAAACGGCTGTTGCCCAGAAAAGAAGGGTGAAACAAAAACTCCAAAACGGTATGTATGTATATATATATATATGCATGTACATACTACCACTACGATGGTTTGTTGCAACAAAGTGTGCGTACAATCAAAAAAACACTCACAACGCGCTGCAAGTTCGAGATCTTTTGAAAGAAGACGTTGCACGAGTTGACTGCCTTCCATCACAAAAGGTTCAGACTTTTTGCCATCAATGACTCAACTCAAGGTTATAGGGAACTCATCTCAGGGTAGCCCCAAAAACACTCACTTAAGAACATCGTATCCCCCAAATGGACAGCGCAGCAACAAACAAATTTATTGCTGGTCGAGTCTAACTGCAACTTGTAGAGCCGAATTGAGGCCTTTGGGATTCTATATTTCTATATTATATGATTCTATCACCCTATGACCCCATCCCCCGCTTTGCCGCTCCTGGGGTCCAGAAGGCTTCGCCGAAAGGAGCACACTCCCCGCAAATCGCCCCAGCATGGAGACTTCCTGGCCATGGAAAAGATGCACACATTGGGTCCTCAAGTTTCTACCATAACGTGAAAAACCTAGGGAATTTACATCAGAATCGGCAAGCAATACCCATGGGCTGGAAAGCAAGGGGGCCTGTCTGCAAACAAATCTCGCTACCATACAAAGGAAACGAAACCACAGAATTCAGGGTGTGAACACTCAGAATCGGAGTTGTTGAATGAATGCACGAGTCAGTGCCCTCTGCAAACATCCCAACGTACTGTTTTCTACCAGCAAAAAGGGCTGGACACATTTGGCTAGGCGATCGACTTAGTCCATTGTCGATCGCCTAAGATCATTGAGTCGCTTATCATATCCCTCTAAACCTACCCGCTTTGAGCTTCTGAAGAAAATTTTAGCACTAAGACTTTTCTACCAAAGAACTCACAGCCCTAAGAAAAGCTATGATAAACCAATCTAAACTATTTTAAACTTAAAAAAAAACTAGGAAAAGCTAAGTGCAAAACAACACACATACACACACATACAGTCTTGGATGTGGTTGTGCAATGGAATGCCTTTCCTAAAGTCAACTGGTGTTTGTCAGATGTTCTTAAAGAGTTAAACTCTCCTGCACTGAGGGCTTCCACTGGTTCTCGCGAAGTGCCAAAACGAGGAGTGCCACGATGATCCCGCACGCCGTCCCAAGCACACTCCATGTGATTGGACTAATTATATGTAATAATAATTATATACATATATATTAAATTACATATTATTAATAAATGCCGATCAATTAACCCTTTTTCAACCAAACACCCCAAGGTATGCAACAGGCCTGGCAGTCCCATTCGTGTCTGGGGGGAGCCGGCTGGTTGTCCCGGCTGCCAGAGTTGGACCAATGGACCCCCATGCCACGTCTAAACGCCCAGCCACGAATTACACACTTTCGGAGACACGCTGGATTTGTTGTTGCGCTCCGTTGGCACACCATCGACCGCATCGCCCGACCGTTTGCGATGGGAGCCCAGGTCACGACTCGGCCGAATGGTCAGCGAGTCAGCGTGCTCGAGGACGCAAGAAGCTCAATGTGCTGGCGGTTTGGCAAGCAACGGCCTGACTGCTTTCTACCAGTGTAACGGGACCGGCCACATTTGGCTAGAGGACATATATATATATATAGATTAATATAGAGATACACCAACATGGAGAAGTGTAGATAGCAAAGCCTCCCACATGTCATTCACAAACGATGTTTGCTTTACTGTAAACACATCTGCAACAATTAGTTCTATATTGTGCGCTCCAATGTTTTTGTATATGTATTTGTACATCTTCACGGTCTGTTTGAGGACTCAGTTTCCCAAACCTGCACGAAACACATTGTGAACACACGGGTCATTTCAAGTTTCGAGACAAAAAATCAACAAACACCGCTCCTCGGCTAGAAATAACATGCTGCTCACTCTGCTTGGTCCGTCATCCACCCAACTCATCCACCAAGCTCGCGAACGGTCCGTCCTAGATCTCCCTCTGCTGGACAAACCACGCCACCAGCGATCCATGGTGAAGCTGAAACCTTCTCCTGAGGGCTCGTATGTTTGGAGGCACCATGGCCAGCAGCTTCTCCCTGTACCCCCCGCAACGTCGACCTGAGCTGAGCGTTCAACACAAAAACTGTGTTAGATTCCATTTGACGGGTTGGTAGGGGTATCTAGGGTGCGATTTGAGGAGAGATGCAGGAGAAAAAATGCAGTACAGTTAGAGTATCCAGTAGTTTCTTTAGAATTGTTGGTTTGTGAACGCGCTTGCTATCACGTTGAAGGCATACAATAGTGCTGCTTGGTCCTAATGAGAAGTTCACTTCCTCAGCAGCCCCGTTGGTGCTTACCCCCAAACTCCTTCAATCCCCCTTGCTTTCATACCTCAGGCCAACTTGAAGCATAGATAGTGCACCTGCTTACAATCTGGGAATAGCTTCACCTCAGGGGGACAGTTCCGTTCCAACTTCCCAAAGGCCCGACATGAACAGCCGACCGTTCACCGCGCAAGGCCCGGCACATCTGTGACGAACCCCCGGCACTCACGGCCTGCAAAACGGGGAGCGCCCGGTGGAGTGGGCAAGGATGCAGGAGGGCCTCAGCAACGATGCGAAGCGGTTTGCTACCAAGCGCAAACATGTACAAACGATTCCCAGAAGAGGATTCACCAAAAGGCAAAGTAAGTCACCCGAAGCAAAATCCAAAAGGTGTTCTACCTCTAATATCCTCTAATTACATGATATCAAGTCGGATCAAGCCGGATATCTATCTGTTTTCAGAAAACTATCACCGATCCGTTTTTCACTTTTGCAACTCCCTGCGATTGCAAGTGGCCCCGTGCAGCTTTCTGCGGACACAAACCTTTCAAGACAACAAACCTCTCTATATATATATATACACTCTTTCTTACCACACTCCATCATCATCATCATCATCATCATCATCATCATCCTCGTTATCATCATCATCATCATCACCAATCATCATCACCACAAACATCAGTGGCATCGGCGAGCGTTTCGCATGCTTCGCCTACGTCCGGCCATCTGGAGAAGAAACGATTCCAGGTGGATATTGATTATTGATTCCACACCCTGGGAAAAGAACCTTTATATAATTATATAGGCATCAACAAATCTCAAAATGTCAAAAAATATTGGTTCACTTCCACATGTCACTAGAGACCATAGAACCACCCTTGTTTTTAGCACACCTCCTCATCTCATCACCAAACTTTAAGAAAAACTCTCTCCGCCAGCACGTCGCAGTTGTGACAAAGCAAAGCCGTGCCATAGGCCATAGGGATCCCCCACGACCTCCAAATTGATCCCAAAACATCCCAAAAGCAAAACACGTTTTTCTGTTTCTCCCAATTTCTTGTTCCCACAATGTTCGCCCGGATGTTGAAACCGTGAACGCCGCGTGCCGCATCGTTCCGTCCGCAGCTTCCCCGGCCGTCCGGCACGGGCATCGTCCGGATGCCCTCCGCGTACCTGCCGCGTGCGCGTCTCCGCGGATTCTTCGCATCTCACACGCGGTCTCGCGGGAGGGGTCTGGCTACTGCGAGTTCAGGTCCGACCTTCCGACGCATGTTCGACCTTGCATCGAAACCATGTGTGTGTGTGTCACCCTCTGCTTCTAAGAGTTTTCTGCAAGAAGGGGGCCACCGGGGTCCCAGAGGAGCGGTGGCCAACGAAGACCTCCTCTGGGACCCGTGTAAACGTACCTGCATTTTTATTAACTGTTTAAGCCGCCGTGCAAATGTGCACAAACCATTTGTTGAAACACCTTCAAGTACTTGGACGCTTCACCTTTCGGTTGAGCCACTCTTTTCCTCGAACCGCCGTTTCGTGAGCTGCAGATGTGCACAAACCATTTGTTGAAACACCTTCAAGTGTTTGGACGCTTCACCTTTCCGTTGAGCCACTCTTTTCCTCGGGGAATTGATGTAACTGCAAACCCATTGCATGTCTAAGTGTGTGCCGCTCTGTCGTCCCACAGGGTGCAGAGTGTGATCCCCGTCACTGGGGCACTGAGACCATTCCGGATTGCCACCTTACTGGATTTGCGGTTTCCTGCACACTTTGGATTATGGTACTGGAGTCACATGTTCCACCAAATGAATTTCCTGACAGATATGATCTTATATGCTGCCGAGCTACGGAGAATGAATCCCCGCCGAGTTCTCTAACCACCCCCCCCCTCTAATTAGGGCAACAGAGGGAAATGGTACTCGACACACTTGTGTGTCGGTGCCTTTCCCTCTGTTGTCCCTGTTCTACTCTACCCGGGCGGTTTAAGACTAAAGTCCCGCTCCCTAATTATTGCACCTAATTAACTTCCGCTAAGTAATCAGTAACTCTAGAGTGCTAGGTATTCAAACACACACACACACGGACACACACACACATACATCCCGTCCCTGCCCCCCACTTTCTTTCTTGCGTTTTTCGTCGTTTCTTGGGCTTTCTTTCAGGCTTTTTAGGTGGTTCTTGAGGCTCGTTTCCCTACCCCAGTCAAGTCACTTTTTGCTACCCCTATCTTTCTCTCCTGCCCTTTTAGCGCTGCTCTTTCTGTTTTTCTTTCTCTCGCTTCTAAGGCTTTTTAGGTGCCTATTCAGGTTTTGCGCGAGAGCGCCGCAAAGCGGCCGGGTGTGTGTGTGTGTGTGTCACCCTCTGCTTCTAAGAGTTTTCTGCAAGAAGGGGGCCACCGGGGTCCCAGAGGAGCGGTGGCCAACGAAGACCTCCTCTGGGACCCGTGTAAACGTACCTGCATTTTTATTAACTGTTTAAGTTCCGTGCAAATGTGCACAAACCATTTGTTGAAACACCTTCAAGTACTTGGACGCTTCACCTTTCCGTTGAGCCACTCTTTTCCTCGAACCGCCGTTTCGTGAGCTGCAGATGTGCACAAACCATTTGTTGAAACACCTTCAAGTATTTGGACGCTTCACCTTTCCGTTGAGCCACTCTTTTCCTCGGGGAATTGATGTAACTGCAAACCCATTGCATGTCTAAGTGTGTGCGTGTGCGAGCCGTGTTTAAAACGTTCGAAGGGCAAGATCCTTTTGCAACGCTTTCGCGGCTTGCGTTTTGGCTTTTGCTCGCTGCATTGTGTACAAAAAACACTTTGCAAGCTTTTGCGCATGAACAGGTTCCCCTCTCTTCAAATTGTATAGGTCGTGTAGCCCAAATAGGGAGACCGACACGCGTTCGACCCCCTGGAAAGTTCCGGCAACAGCCCAGTTTACCCAGCAGGGCCATGGGGGTGTCCCTCTTACAATACACACCCATGTAGACAACCAAAAACCACCGGCTCGAAGTCCAGCTGTTGATTTCCACAGGGCTAGCGGGGTTTCAGCGGGATCCAGGAGACTGATTGAAAATTCGCTAGATTTAAAAGGGTGAAGAAATCGGTGGTTGAGCAGAAACCTGATTCAAGTTATAAGTGTGGATCGTATCTTATTTTGGTTCTAGCTTTCATGTCTATGGGGATGAGGGGACGGCACGTTTTGGAGGATTCAGGCAGGATTCACATGGGACCACAGTTCCAAGCATCAAGATGCATCAAGTATAGCTGATCCGGACAAAAACAAGGACATACGACCATGCCACCCACTCCTCATAATAAACCTCATAAACGACCTATCATTTGTTCTGCTAACAAAAACCGTTGGAGACATCAAGTTGGTTAAACAACAAAACATGTTGTATAATGTCTGGATGCCAGCCATGCGCTCCCCCTTGTATACGATGTTGTATTGTGATGTTTGCGTTTTTCAACTTCCAAATCAATCTCCCCGATCAAATCGGGTCATCCCCTTCCAAGCTTGGCTCGCGAAGCCTATGCTTCTGGTCCTCCTCCGCCAGCTCCGTTGGCTTGGAGGCCTCAGAATCTTCGACGCGCATTCTGCGCGGTGCCGATCTGGCGCAGAACCCAAAGACCTGAAGCCTTGAAGTGACCTGAAGACTTGAAGGGACCTGAAGTCTTGAAGCCTTGATCCCAAGCTTTTCTTCTGGGAAAGTGATGCAGATCCTATCAAATCCCGCAAGTACCCTCTGGAAGAAATCGTGATCACTCATGGTTACGTGGATGGAACATGGCCCCCGATCTTGGATGACCATGAGTTCTCCGAATAGCACAAGGTGGTGGGTGGTGGTGGTTTTCCACTTCCGTGATGATTTCAGGGAGTCAAAACAAACACACGAAACACGCGCTCGAGAATGGGCTAGGTTTGTCTTCTTTTGAACGGTTCAAAGACCGGTGAGTTTGTGCATCTTGTCATTTCGCCGTGGATGACACTCAAACAATTGTTGGGCTAAGTGGGCAAACAACATCAAACAACCCCTTTGTTGTAAATCAGAGGTCTGCAGCAAAAAATGTGACCTCAAAACGCGGGGGATGAAATTTGGTTACTTTGAGAGACATGATCTTCCTGATGCTTCGCCACACACAAAGCTGAGGGTCCCCGCTCGGCGGGCCACCTCTCCTCGAGGAGTTGCCAAGAATCCAAGGCACCCCTGAATACTATATAATCCCTACAGGTCAAAGGACCCAGTAAAACCTGGTCCTTCAATGTGCTTTAATACCTCGTTCAGTGTTTTTGCATCATAAATTCCAGTAGAATGAGGTTTTGAACAGGTCTTGATCTGTAGACAATGACTGTTAAAGAAAAACATCACCAAAGCAGAACCGTCAGAAGTTAATTGGCGTGGTCATTGTCCTCCTCCTCGTCCTTGCCATCAGTGTATCAAGTTGTGTCAGCTCCGGGTGCGACCGCGGTCGCACACTCATGGACCGCGAACATGACGCTGTGAGGTACGATTGGTGACTGAAGAGCAGCTTCAAAGCAATTCTTGGCATGTTGACACCTATCTTCTATCGTCTATAGTCATCCTGGACTAGGCACAATATGGGAAAAAAAAAACACAATATAGGAAACTGGTCATGTTTTTGGATCGGTTCATATTCTATCATATTCTATCTACTCCAGGATGATTATATATACGACTCACATGAAAAAAGAACAACTCACGACATGCCACGCTCTGGAGACAAGACTGACCAGAAACATTGCTTAGGGCTCCGAGGGGAGAGCCCAACCTTGCATTCAACGCCTGCTGCTATAGCAGTGAATTCAAAAGAGCTTGGCACTGTGCAGCTGGCGGTAAGTGACCACCTTTTCAGCAGTTTTTTCAGCCACCTGCATAGCCATTTCTGCCCCTTGGCATCTTGGTCGCATCTTGGTCACATAGTCCCAACCAACCTGACTGACCTGAATCATGGCTCATCTTTTTGCTCTACTCATCACGCCACTGCTTAACGGTCATGTTGCCAGCCTCTTGCTAGCGATACTCTGAACCTAGAAGTCCTGATAGCACTACCACTGCCTGTGGCTTTCCAACCCCTGCAGAACTGCTCCTCCCCCTGCAGAATGCGCTTGAGGAAATTCCATCGCCGTCGAAGGGATGAAAGCAAAGGGGCGGACAGCAACCGAAAGCAACTCATTCTGAAAAGAATGAGAGAATGATAGGATGGCCTGAGCCACAACTGCTGTATCCACCTTTACTTGGGCGCTTCTTGTTCAGAACGGGCGTCCCAAAAACATGTTTCCAGTTGGCTTTGGTTCTTGTTGGGGTGCCTCAGCCAAATCGGCTTTCCTCGCCAAGGCTTCCAGCGTTTCTGAGATGCTTCTTGGAGCGGGACTCCTCTCTCTCTCTCTATATCCCTTCGATCCTGCAAAATCATTGACAAAACGAGATCTTCGGAAAAGGATCTCCTGGATCATTCACATCTGCACTTCGGCTTTCTCATGATCCCCAGTAGCTTGCTTGGGACATATTAACATGTAGAATAGGCATCACCACTCCAAATGGATCAAGTGAACCCGTACCCCGCCAAGGACTGGACGCAAAGAAGCCTACGCCAAGGACTGGACTCCTACAAAGCTGCTTCTTCATCTAGGTCCCCAAAGCTTCATGCTGGGCTTTCGAGCTGGGCCACGTGTGTGCAAGTCAGGCTCCCAAAGAACTTAACCACGTTAAAGTGTCCCTCCTCTCTTCCCTTCGTCCTGGATCTGCAAGGCGGAAGAGTGGCAAATAGGGCTCCAAACAGACCTGCCGCACAGAGCAGAACAGCACCGGCACACACTGAGGCCGACATGACCAGTCTGACCTATTCACCAGTCATCTGACCGTTTTCCATCCTTTTCCCGAAGTTCTCCCGCTCACCTGGACCTGTTCTCCGTTCGAAGGCAAAGGATGATTAAGATGTTTCATAATTTCATATTGATTTGTTTTATTCTATATTCAGAATCTTTACGCGTTTTTCGCTATTCAGAAAAAGGAACATGTTCCCTACAGGTCAGTTGGACCTCATTTTACTCGAGTTGGTGATACAAAAACACGACGAAAAAAAGGAAGTGTTCAGGACCAGGTAAAAAAAAGAAAACACACAAAGCACACATACCAGGATCATCCTGTCTGGGTGTCCTGGTTAGACTACCTCACAGGTCTCCAGACAGGGCACGCGCGCGCCGCTCCGCCTCGCCCTTCACCGGGAGGCTCACATCGGTCGTGCCGCTCAAGACCTGTGGGCCTCGGACGGGACGCCGTGTCGGGCTGCCGGTTTGGGGCAGTTTGGGTGGAAACATCGGGGGTTGAAGGAGCTTGAAGGAAACATGGTGGGACAAGAGAAGAACTGGGGTGTTCCAGAATTCCAGGATGGTCTGATTGTTTTGTATCGTTGCTCGAGGGTCCAGTGAAGTCCAAGAGACCTTTTTCACACCTCCATATACGTCTTGGCTAAATCCGTAACTTGTCACACGAATCCGATGAGGTGAACAGGACCTGCAGGCTGACGACAGGACCACTCACAAACAATCAAAAATAATAGATGTGGTCGTGGTGATCAGCTTGGGAGGTGCTTCCACCCCTTACAAACCTGGTGTCTCCAAAACACGCGACTCACAAACCAGCGCGCGCTCCTCCATCGGAGGTGGTTGTTGAGGGCAAACCGTAGAACAGTTGCCGCGCCGCATCACAAGCCCCAGGCACCTCAAGGTGTTCAAGTTGGAGAAAAAAAGAGACTGACTGCAGTGGTTTCAAGTAATTAGATGGCACAAACCCCCAGTTGTCTTTTAGATGGGGATCGATATAAACCACCTTTTCAATATTGTGCCATCTGCTCTCAATCCACCAGATAATTAATTAAGTACTTCCTCAGAAGGTGGCTGGACTCCAGTTTTCTCCCAATCTCACCGAACCGAAACAGAGGTGGGCCAGGAGGTAGTCGGGCTTTTTAGGGATCCTCATGTGTCACATACCTGTGGGACCACCAAGCTCTTAAGATGTGGAAGAGCGTGTTCAAACCATCTGTGGGACGTGTTTGTCGGAGGGGGAATTATCTTCCTTGGTATAGAACTTGAGAGGCGGGGAACGAAAGCGATGACAACGACGAATGTGAGAACGATAGAAATTGGCAATGGTGTTCCGCAAAGGACAAGAATAACTGAGCCTGATGTTTGTGTCCGTTGGGGGGGTCCTATTGATTCGATTCACACGAAGTGGGGAGGAGGGGGGGGGCCGTTTGTAGTGATTTTTCAATTGATCCCTTCGATTTTGACCTATCTAATCGTAAACTAGAACTTCAGCTGACCTCCTTCGGAGATCGCTTTCGTGATAAAGCTGACCCCACCTCACTAGAACAAGTTGACGGGACTTTTATGAAGCAAGTCTACAACCAACAAGTGAAACTTGTAGGAAGACCAACACCTCAAATGATACATGCATTATATGTTACACATCTCCAACATGTTAATTAACAAAAAAAGAAAAACACATACCAGAGGCCACGCCAGTAACCTGTACTTCAAAAAAACATTGTCCATGCGTTCATCGAACAGGGTTTCATTGAGACTGAGACGGGTTTTCATTGAGAAAGAAACGCGATAACAATAAGAGAACAAGTCATTTCTTTGTATTAAATCCTATTCACACTTGTTAAGTTGATGGTCTTTCGAGCCTCTATTCGCGAACCTTCTCTGTGATCATTGTTCATCCTTGTAAACCATCCTCTTCAACCGTTGTTCCTTCTTGATCCTGCTCTCCAACTGTTGTTTCTTCTTGCTGATCGTGCTCTCCAACTGACTGTTGTTTCCTGATCGAGCACGAGCAGTTTCCCCAAGGTGGTTGTGGGAATGATTCAGGAGGCAACACCGGAGGCAGTCTTTGAAAAGCTTGGAATTCTTGCTTTCTGTGGGTCCAGCTTTCAAAAGCGTGTGAGTGTTGACAAAATTTGTGCACTGCAATGGGTTTGGAGCTTAGTCCACCATGTTCATCCTTTGGCAACCATACCTATCATAGATTGCAGAATGAATAACATAACTTACTATCAGATATGAAAAAAGTATACCAAGGACTCTGAAGCAGGTCCGCCATCGGAGTCTTCCAAAGGAGCCGACACCTTCCATCTCTGGGTTGCCCTGGCATGTGTGACGATGGCCAGCCGACCACTTTCGCCTACATGACCAGCGGCGGGAGATGTGGCAACAGGGGAGAACATGATTGACTATTACCTCGGAATGGTTCCTTCAGTTGCTTGTTAAGCCACTGACTCGCAGGATTTCGCAGTACTGTACTGGTTTACTGCACCTTGGACGGTAGTACCATGAAACTATATACTTGCTTTATCTTCACTATCAGGGTCCTGAAAAGTGAACAGGGAGCGGTTCAAACCATTTCAAACCACCATCCTTCAAACAGTGCTGCACAATGCTGCACACCAAAACGCGCCCTCAGGAGCCGCGAATAGCTTCGTTACTAGTAGTAAGGCCAGGAGCCCCGAACCTCGTCGCGTCCTTGCTCCCTCCGTTCGTGTCGCGATGCCAGGAGTCCTGCCCCGTTCGTCGCATCCTCTGCAACCAAGAACGGTGCCTGCCACAAAGTCTTCGATGGCGGAAATCAAGCCCAAGTGATCCTCCGTGGCCTCGGAAGTGACGAAGAAAGTGGTAGAAACCCATGTCCCGGTGTTCGTGTGAATGAAAGCTGTGGCAAGTTCGACCCATGGGATGTTTCTGTTGTTCTTGTGTTCTCTGTATCGGGATGTGGCCATTGTAGCTTATAATTCCCACTGCCACTCACTGCCATAGCTAATTAGTCCTCAGTAATGCCTTGGACAAGCATTGAATGTGCGAGGGCCGGCCGGAACCGTTGGGTAGTGACCATATATGTTGGCATGCCAGGCATGTTGATCAGGGGCGTTGAGTCCTCTGTTCTATCGTTTTAAAGATGTGCTCGTGTGAAGCTCCAGTCAAGCGGGTAGTCGTGGCAATAACTGAGCATCTATATACAGTTAAACCATTTCTAAGAATCTATGTGCGTTTCTGAGAATCGATGTCATCGGTCTTTGTCCAGAAACAAACCAAGAACTGGCCGCGGGTGAGCCGACACTCCTCAATGGAAAACACAACACTTTTCGGCGGCGGTTGTGGTGGTGTGATGGTGACATGTGCATACATGTGCCCATAAAGAGCTCCAATCAGCTGTACATGAAGCACCCTGCAGCGGTTTCAGCTTCTCAAGAACTTACCGATTTGCCACGCTGCTCTCAGAGGAAAAGTGCCTGTGAAGACTGATGTCATCTTGGTTTTCCAACAATTGCCCAGGATGCCCATGGAAGCAAGATCTCCACAAAGAGTGACCTTGTCGTGCAAACATTGGTGTTTGACACAGTCACGTTACCCTTAAAAAGAGATGGAAACAACACATCCACCTTGTCCTACTTCTGTCCCGAACAGTTCGCACGGTTTCTCACCCGTGCTTTCCACCGCCCAGAACCCACCATCTCTCCGCTGCTCCGCCTTGCAAAGGGGCCGGTCCGAGCGCTTCTGGATCGCCTGGAGCGAGTTCGTGCGGCCGCGAACAGGCCACCCAGCAATGGGTGCGTGCTGATGTGCTCTTTTAGGGGGGGCGAAAATATACTAACCGACCAGACTATATATAGGGAATTGTTGTGCTTTGTTTGTTTTTGTTTTGTTTTTGGTCTTTTTGTTGTTGTTGTTGGTGTTTTTTTAAAGATTTGGTGGGATCACATTGATAGGCCTTGGCCTCGAACTTCAGATCGATTGTTGCCCGGTTTGTTCAACACTTCCGAGTTCGGCTTTTGACTGTTTGACTGTTTGAGAACGTGGAAGTAATTGCTCAGTGACCCTATTATAAGAATTTCAGGAAGAAGACACAAAACACAATTATAGCCAAAGAACAAGTAACATATGTTATTCGCAACAGGTTGGAAAAAGCACTGACGTTGACCCAGTCAGACTGCATGGACTTGTAATTGGTGGCTTTAACTTCACCAAACCACTCACTGGAAGTGACACTGGATACCAGCCATCCCATCAAGTGGTGCAAATAGGCTATCGACTGCAGGCAGGATTTGAAGGGGGTATGTCGAATCCATGTGAAACCACGGATACTGAGAAAACTACCGTTGTGTTTTTGGGGTCCATGTGTGTGTGTGTGTGTCATGGTCAAACCGACTTATCTGGGAACCCGTCATCTCACTACCCTTGCCGGGCCTGCCAGGTTGTATGGTGCTTGTTGCTAATTACACAACCATCCTCTTTAACCCCACACTACAAGCGTGGCACAGGTGGTAGTTCAACCAACAGTCCTTGCCAAACGTTGGCCACCACTCAAAAAAACATATTGGCCGCCTGGATGAAGAGATCAGCCAGTTCCTGACAAAACGAGATCTTCCCACTCAGCCATCCACTGTCACCTTCTCAGAAAATACTTGGACCCTCTCCTGGCCTATCTAAAGGTGTGTCCAATCACTCTCTCTACCGGGTGAGAGTGGATTCATCGGGCCAGAAATGAGCCGGCGTGACTGGAGCACAGGAATTTCACAGCAAGCGAAACAAATGCCTCATTTGTCCTAAGATCCACCACTAGATCCACCCCGAAACAAAAGGTAGGTCAACCCGGTCCTTGTGCCATTGGAGGTGATGATATTCCAAGCTACTCGGCTATCCTTTGGCATTCCGATGTGGGACTTTGCACAGCAAACATCCTCCAAGAAGATTCAGTCCTCTTGAGAAACCCTTCAGTCCTGAGGAAAGGATGCCGAGGATGGTAAACATCCCTCAAAAAGCCAAGCATCCCTGAACGGTGCCCCAAGTCTTGGTCCAACAACTGGATGCCCCGCCCCAATGGGCCCAAACCCTAAAGCGGAGCTCAACGAACGCACCGAACGCTGCACATGGTGACAACTGCTCCACGACAGTCTTCGAGAAGACCCCCAAGTCTTGCAATACGTGGGTAACTGCCATCAACTACTACCACGTTCCAAAAAGAGTACCGGCAAAACAAAAACTTCTGGAGGTCTAGACACTTCTTGAAGGATGGATTCGCTTCTATCTGTGGATCCCTGCGGATTTCGTGGATCCCTGCGGTCTCCGGAGTGCGGCGTCCTGTAAAAAGGAATCGACCTGAAAGCGGCTCAGTCCTGAGCAGAACGTGGTGGCTGATTCACATCGTCACAGGTGTCGACTGAACTCTGGGAGGCAAGCACCGACCAAGAATATATTCCACATGACGCATGTTCATGAAGTTGGAGGATCTATCTTGGCTGCAAAGTATAGCAATGTGTTAAGAACCTTCAATCACCCAGAAACCTTGGATCTCCAAGGTCAATTGTTGATTAGGACCGCACTATTTACCAGGTTCCAAGTGTGATATGGAGGTTCCAAGTGGGTAGACGGTAGACTTCTCAACCATCCGTGACTCGCCCAAACAGAAAACCCCTGCGACTCGACCCTTCACTGAACCTCCAGAAACGCGTCACATCACGCGTTTCCGTGAGGACGGAGAAGCGAGGGTTCGGAGCGGAAGAAGCGACGGAGCCGTGAGGACACGCTGGAAGTCGTTTCCAGAAACCGTCAGTGTCAGTAGCTCCATCCTGTGGTCAGGTTCCATCGACTTTCACCAGCAGCCCAGGTTCTATACGAAAGCCCATGGAATACTGGGCTCTCACAGGTAGGGGTATGGCTCAAAAAATGAAGACCCTGGAAGCTGGAAGCTATCCCAAACATTCCATGTATTGCATATATACCTACATTGGGGTGGTTCGGGGGGTCAATGTAGGCATACATGGAGTGTCTGGGTATGGATTTCAGTGATGCTTTCCGTGGCCCGTTGCCTCTCCTTTGGCGCCCCACCAGTCACCGACTGAAGGTTGCAGCCATACGACCCGCATCCAAAACGTCCCAGGCTTCTCACCGAGTCTGTGGGGTTGATGGCACCAGCCGAGGCTCGGCAAATCCAGCGATAGAAGTTCAGCACCTGACCCAGAAACTCTGGGCTGAGCAAGAAAGGGATTCACATGTCCTGACCGCCTCATGACCAGGTCATCATGAAAGGTCCTCCACTGATCCTACTTGGCAGGTCCTCCAGAAAGGGATTCACATGTCCTGACTGCCTGCAGTCGGGAAATTGGGTGACCTGCAGTTGGGGTCAACATCTGGTCTTCTGGCCCAAACGCTATTTTGACCTGGCTGCCAAATCCAAAACCAACGACGATCCAAACGACCCATGAGGTGTCAGGGTCAAAAAGGGAGCGACCTTGGCCCAACATCCGTTGAGATCCGTCAAGGACTCGGCTAGCGAGGAGGTTGGCAGCTTTCTACTATGTATATACTGTATCAGAACTTCTATGAACTTGTGCTGTAGTACTGTATAATTATGTATACATCTATAATTAATAAAGCTTAAACTATGATGGACAATGATGTATGGCCAATGTCCAGCACAACTGAAAGAAGCAATTGTAGGCACGAAGAGATCATGCTGTGTAACCCTGAAATGAATTGCTGGATTCATTGCAAATGAGTGCTTCCACCAGTTCAGTACAGCAACCCTGACTGCACGAACCAACCAAACGATCAAACAATCCATGGAGAAAAGGAAGGAAGGAAGGAAGGAAGGAAGGGAGGGAGGAAGGAAGGAAGGAAGGAAGGGAAGGCACGGAGATGGTTGGCATCGACCTAGAAGCGATGGCCTCCAACCTAATAGCGATGGCCTCCATCCTACTATGAGAAGGGGCCAATGTAAGTCTATAAATGCCAGTTTCACCGGACTCGTCCATTGGTGACGATGTCTAATCCGTTCATGTCAGTTTGTCCATGGGTTTTCAGTGGCTCTCTGGATGAAAGGATCAACATCTCCGACTTGATTGAATTCCTCGAAGATAGGCCATTGGCAGGATTTAGTGACATCAGCAGGTGAGGAACCCCAAGCAAAATTTCATGCACTTACAGCTGAAGGCACTGGCCGGACAATCTACAACCTTTCAACATGTTCTTACATTCAACGATATTAAATGTTGCTTTCGTTGAACATCAAGGGTGAAAAGACTCACGCATCATGACATGATGAGCTTCATATTGTTGCTCTGAGCAAAGAGACGACTTATGTAACCCAAACCATCCATCGGACTGGAATAGCTACTAGGAGCAAGGAAGCTACTAGGAACATAATATATAATATGAAAGTGCCCCATCCATGTATCCCATGGACGGTCTCAAACCTTTTTCAACCTGTTCGTGTTCTTTCGGTAGGGAAAAATATCCCAAAGGACATACAACTGGGTCATACAAACTGAGGTCATACAACTGGTGTTCAACCTGTTTTTCTGGGTCATTCGGTATGAGTCATCCCAGTTAGGACACCGAAAGGCTTCGACGAATCCGTCTCGCACCGCCGTCTCGTCTCGCGGGTTCTACGCCTCGAGTGCCAAAAGCATCTCACAGGTTCGTGCAACACCTCCTTCCTGCGAGATGTTGGGTGGGTGGCTGGGTGGGTGGCTGGCTAGATATTTGATGTGTCCCTGTCAATATATTTGTTTATCCACCACTACCTTCGTCACCTCAGGGTGGCTAGTAGATGAACTTCTAATAAGATCACCTTGCAAACGGTGGAAGCCCTGTCTCGGGTGAGTACAAGGAGCTTGAAACCTCTTCTAGTGGATATATATTTATATAGGTCTGGTCAACAACGGTTTTGGGCTTCTCTTTCTTCCTGTGTCCCTGGCGAGATCACTGTTGTGAAGCTCAAACATGCACCCAGAATGAGGTAATTGATACCATCATCCTGGAGTCAAAAATGAACCGATACGAAAGCATCCGAAAACACTATCAGCTTCCCATATCGGCTTTTGGAATTCCCCATACTTCAGGCAAAGTATTCTCAAACTTGCAGAATAAAGACTTCACCATCTCCAAATAGAAGAACAAGCGAGAACAAAACAAATCCGCTTGATGGTGTGACGACCTCTATAACAGATTGGGACCACGCATGAGCAACCACAATTCCAGGAAGATCAAGGTCCAAAAACACCCGGTTTGCACTCTGTCACTGTGCCTACCATCTCCATGTCCATGTCCATTCGCGCGTCAGTGTCTCTATGTAGGACTCAGCGCCTTGCACTGCAAAATGAATTCTGAATTATATACGGAAGAAATGGGGACCCATATATCAAGCTGCTGAACAACGGCTGCAAGCAACCAGTGTGCCTATCGGAAACATAAGAAACACACACAGCCAGAGGTCCTGTGCCAGCCAAAAGTCCAAGTTATCAGGGTGTGTGGACTGGCGAGCGCAGTGCCGCGTTCAAGACCAGTGGGTCGAACGATCGAAACCAGGAAAAATCTGGAAATCTCATCAGTTCATGGCAAAAACTATGACATTTACATTTACAGCTCACCTGAAGCAAGAATGGTTTCAATTCAAGATTTATTGGCTCACAAGACTTGCTTTTTGCCAAGTCCAAATTTGTCAGCGAGCCAATGCATTGGGGTTTTATAACAAAATCAGATCCTCGGACATCCTGGGAACCGATCTTCGGACGAAGGCCCACTGGGCGACTGGGCGGCTCACCGAGGTTGTTTTGGCCTCAAATTCTCATGTAAACATGTGATGGTAGATGATGCTAGTCATAGTTAATACTTGAACAATTTTGGAACATATATGGTCTAAATTCTCAAGTAAAAACATGAAACGGATCGAAACTGAGGGTTCATTCAGGAATTCAGGATTTGGTTTCTATTTAAAGCGGTGGGCCAGGAATGTCCGAAAGTGCTACCATGCGCATGAGGAAAGAATCTCTCCCCTCCCTGAAGGACCCAAACACTCTCCAATGCAAACTTCCATGAATCCTTGATAATCTCACAGGTCTCGCAGGCAGAATCAAAGGCAAGTCTGCGGAATCCGAATCAAAGCACAAGGGATCCACCTAGACCACCATACCTTTCTACCCCACCTAGGATCCTTGAAATCCGATACTAAATCCGATAAATTGATAAGGCGTGATTGTCAAAACCAGTCCCCAAGAAACCACCAGCCCCTTCATCGATGTACACATGTGTAAACTGCAGAAACCCGAGAACCTCCGCGTTCATCCCACCACGCTTCTCCCACCTTCATTGAAAACACTTTATTTTTATCTGAACACTTCTCCTCACACTCTCCAAGCACCACCTCTGAAAAACACATGTCATTTAAGAACAAACAAAACACACCTCTCAGATTCTCGGCGGCGTCGCGCTGTGCGTCCAACCAGTCCTTTTCTCTCGCGAGGTGCGGCTTCGGGAAACGGGGAAACGGTGGAAAGCCCCACCTGCCCCCAGGACTTGATGCCAGAGCTCACATAGTACTGCAGCAAGCGTTCCAGCAAGGTGTCCTTCCGACCGGTGACCGTCGACCGACCACGACTGCGAAGGTTCCGGTTCGGGTGGGGGGCGGGTTGATGTTCCGAGGGAGTGTGCGGTAAAAAGGAGGCGGAAGAGAACACTGAATCAGTGGAAACCCATCGGAATCTTCAGGATAGTTTCCTAGTCTATTCTATTCTAGCTTCCTGAATAGTGGAATAGGCATTGAACCCGCAGAGAAGCTAATATTCTTTCCGCCCACAACTGGCACCTACATCCGAAAACCGTTGAAAGCCTCTGGAATCGGCTGGGATCAACAAGAATGTATGCCATCTGCTCTGAAGGGAAAAAGGTTCATACAGTGATCATCTGGGCCAGCCAGGGAAGGGATATCATCTGTGACACCAATTCAGGGATCATCTGTGACACTCCCCCTTTAACTTGTACCAAGCAAACACACGGAATATTAAGCAAACAAACCCTTAAACTTACACATATTTGCTATTTTTATTGTGTTTTTGGTTGAATCATCTGCAACACGCATTGAAGGATCATCTGCTGCTTTCTGGAAGGGGGCCAGTATTGCACAAGGATGGTCTTGCATTCACACGCTGTGGGGGTCATGGCTTGCATCCCTTTTGATACCTTTCACATCACAATTGCGCACAATGGTCTTGCACAGGCTTGATTCCTTCACATCCCCATTGCACACAAAGATTGGGGTATATATTGGGGTGTCAGAGACGACCCCGCGGCTCGAGAGCCAGAAACGATGTGGTCGAGTGACACAGACAAACCCCATACCCTCCAAAGCCACTTCAAGATGATGCTCCGGTCCAACATGGTGCTTCCATCAACATGCCATCAGCTATAGGCCTTAGGTAATGCTGATCATACTAGATTATATAGACATGATTAGACCCATTCCTCCACAATCCTCCACAGCAGGACCACAACCCAGCCTGTCAAGAAGGGTCTTACAAAGCTGTCCAAGTAATGACTGGCCATAATTACAGTATAGTGAAGTGGCTTATGTAGTTGTTTCCCAACGGGACATGGACTTTTGCAGAGCTGCCCTGAAATCAGCACAATATGAAGTGACCCGAAAGAAAAATCATGACCTGGTTCGTATGGCTATCGGCTATCAACAGGTTCTGATACATTTCCTTAATCAGGTCAAGGATGAGATGCCTGTGAGATGCCTTAAACAGGTGATTTGTGAGATGCCTGTCGGGTCGGTCGGATGCCTGCCTGTCTGCATACCTCCATACCGCCAATCCCAAGCACGACCAACCCCCCGTCCGGACACGTTTTTGTGTCCTCATCCGCATCCTCCTCACGTCTCAAGTACCTGGACCCCGAAGATCAAAGAGCCCCTGGCCAGGAGCCAGGAGCCAACTGAGACCTCCAACAACGTGCTTTCATCCAATGGAGACCGGTCTAACGCGGTCTTCAAGGCTCATGTGTTTCGACGGCTTGAAACCACAAGCTGTGCCAAGGCTCAACCCTTGGACCATGTCCTGATCCGAACACTGCGCATTGCCTCCAAGTCCACCCCCCACCCCACCGAGCCCGCGCGGGACCGGACGCCAAGTCACACGGCGTCCCGGAAGTCGTAGTCGTAGAAGGATTGGTCCAAGAGATCCAAGCGATCCTAGAGAGCGAAGACGAAAGAAACACGGGGCGTACGGGCTACGTACATGGTTTTTCCGGGCCAGCTACGGGGCAACTTGTGAGATGATGAAAAAATGATACCGTATATAGTAGTATGGTGTACCCTGAGTAGTCCATGCAACTAGCATGGCATATTCATCTATGCAGCCAGTCTACACTGACCCCTGAAACAAACATCTACCGGTCGTTTATTTGTTTGTTTTTTTTTCCCGTGCAGCCTTCAGGTACAGTGTTCGGTGTTCAGTACGCCCTGGGAGACCCTCCGCAGGGGTTTGCAACTCCAACACTCCGCATCATCCAGCACATTCGTCACGCACATTCGCCCTCCATTCGTCACGGGTGGTCCTTGATCTCCTCACGGGTCACACGGAAGCTCCACTTCATCACCTTTGCGCGACTGGTGCCCTCCAGCACGTCGCCTGGCGACTGCCGACTGCAGATTGCGGGGGGGCGGAAGGGGACGGGTTTCGGCGGGTTGAACGGGAGACCCATCTCATCCCATATCCCATGTAGGTAGCCACGTCCTGCATCGGAACCAACAAGGAAGTCCGTCGTGCCGAATTCGTTTTTTGTTGATATATCTGGATGTAGTTACCCACGATCCGCAGGACAAAAAATAAACAATCCCATTGGATTGGAAAATATGCCTACATTGACCTGTAATTGTTAAAAAACAAGATACCCCAAAGTGGGTATACATTGGGTTTATCCTATTACCAGCAACAGTGGATGCTGATGGTTAGGAAAGGCCTTTCTTTCTCAAGCATAGTGATAATAATATATGATAAACTGGGCTCCATGTATGGAAGAGTATATGCCTATATTGGGGTGGTTTGGGCAGGGTCAATGTAGGCATATATATATATATATATTCCAGTCCCATGGAGCGTCTGGGATTGCTTACTGGCTGTTACAGTAACTGTCACAGGTAACACGATAGACCCAAGGTATACATGACATGGACTCTCCGGGCGGTAGAATTCCTGTCTTCCAGTCTCACACAGAGGAAGAAGGTGACTCGGGTAGGTTCACTTGTCCATGCAAAGGTATAGGTTCAGAGAACATTTGACGGATTTGTATGACACATTCACCATGTGAAAAACGCACAACAACACCATCTAGCCACACGTCCCGAAGTGACTATTCAAGTCCAGTCAGCGCGTGGGATGGTTAATCATCTAAGCCCTTTAGCGTCAACATATATCGATGGATCCAAAACCTGGCCCTGCTTAAACCCTAAAAGTGCACAAAACAAGCTGCTGTGGATGTCAAATGATGTCAATGGTTCTTGGGGAGGTTTAGGTGTTCGTCCACAGCTACTTTGCCGTCCCTACATCTGCCACCGCCCCCAACAAGGCAATCCGACCAAAGGTAGCGGAAAAAGGCGCTGCCTTGCCTCTGACCAAGGGAGATGGAAATTCTTCGATCCGCAACGCCTCCCAGCTGCGATCGAAGCCGCGAAGTGCACCACATACTGGGATTGGAAAGCCCTAGACCTTTTGCAGCGTCGATCCCCCCAGAAACATGGGATATCCAGGCGTGGATGGCGAATGGCATGGCCTGGACGATTCTTCAAGGAGCAAACGAGGTGAGGGTCCAGTCCACGTTTCCATGCGGGTATAGCCCCAGCCCAAAGAATTGTCTCAAATAGACAAGTTGGTGCCCCGCTTGAGTTCCCAGAATGAGAGAATGTCCAGAAAACCTGATTGAGCTACAAGTCCCAGACCAGGGTGCGGTGTAGTACAGAAAACGTGGGGTGGCGCTATTTCAGCACAGACACTTTCTCAACACTTCGCACTACGTGCCAAGCGACATCGCAGGGATGAAGCAATCTTTGTACATGCTTGATGAAAGTGCACCAAATCAACCAAGCTGCTTCCAGCGAGAACTAGACTCACCATGATCATGGCGGTGTTTTCGTTGTTTTTTCCTGGAGCAAAGCCGCCACTTTCACAAGGCGCGCAAGGCAAGGCGTCGCCGCCCTTCACTGCTGCTTGCACTCCAGACCATGCCGCCTGCGACAACTCGTTGGACACCCGACAAGGGCAAGATCTATCCACGTGTAACGCTAAGGCTAACACATCCACAATCACTACAGTACTACTCTAATTAGAGTAGATGGCACTGGCACCCTAAGATGTCCTTTCGGGTCCATATAAACATCTAAACATATATCATAATTTATACGTATAAACATCAATATACACATCCATATATATATATATATATCATAAACATACGTACAAACATATATAAACATCCATATAAACATCCGCATATATATATATACACATCCATAATATATATAGACATAGATATAACATCCATATAAACATACGTATACCAAACTTGGGGATTGTGCCATCTCTGAAACCACTGTACCGCAACCCAGTTACGAGAGCCGATCCCTATGAAAACAGTCTAAGCAGTGTTTCTTGGACGGAGATTCTGGGACAACACCACAGGACCCATCCAAGTGTTATAGGGCTCCAGTACTTCAGTGATTTTAACCTGCTTGAAAATCATTGACTATAAAGTTTGGTATGGTCGGCGCTGGTAGGTCTCCCAAAATGGTTGACAAGTCTCAGAATCCAATTTAGTTGGAGCTCTGTAATCCTGCCCGTCGCCAACTTCCCCGATGGCAGCGCGCCCCATGCGTTTCCCAAGGCCCGCGCTCATCATCCTCATCATATGCCTGGCGGTGCTCAGGAGTTGTTATGACCTTGGCAGGAGTCCGCGTTTCTTCCAACATCCGGCATAGTATATTGTTAAGGTGAAACTCCGGGTGCATCTTGAAGAGGTCAAGCCCAAAATCGAACCCCAAGTCATACCGCCCGCTGTAACCACGACAAGAGCAGCCTACCACTAGACTTGCCTACACCTTTTGAATCATTTGATTTTTGATCTTGATCTGTGAGATCACTCAATGTTACTCAACTCTGAAAACTGCTGAGGAGTTGGGTCAAAATCCAGTGGTCTGAACTATGCGACTGCCCCGAAATTTGGAGGAAACCCGATCCCAGGAATGTGAGGAAACTGGACATGTCTGGTCTTGGCTCATGGGCCTATATGTCCTTTTGTATGAAACCCCTTAAACCCGCTCCATTACATCAACCTCCCCATTCCGATTCCGGTGTGCCAATTCCGGTCAAAAGGGCCACCAGGGCCACGGACTGCGTCCGTTGCCTCGGAGCTCCTTCTCCGACTACAACTCCGAACCGTTGCTCCTCTCGGGGTGTTGTCGCGTCCCGTCTTCCGGGATTGGCCCGGTGCGACCCGGGCGCCTGAGTGGTGACTTTCTTGCTGGCTTTGGCCGACTGCAAAGGGTCTAAGTCTTCACAGAAGACCTCTTCGAGGTCCTGACATCGGAGGCGTTGGGACAGCTGCGGAGACCTTCGGAGACGTCGGGCGACGAAACCGAAACCACCACGCGGAACATTCATGCGTGTGGTTGTTTGGTTGTTTTGGTCGGCGAAGCATATGGCGAACCAAAAGCGGGAGAACAACTGGTTAGTCCTGACAGATCTTTAAAATAGAGCTTCACTGTCTTGTCCTTCCCATCTCATCTCACTGAAGCGAGGGTCTGGACACATGTCTGAGTCTCCTATGGTTTCTCATCGTCTTCAGTACAGGCCACCATACTAATTACTAACCATACTATCTATCTATATATATATATATATTAGTGTTGGGTCAGTCCGTATTGGCTTTGGTCTATGTTGCCAATGATGTTGTGGGAATACAAATTTCTATGTTGTGACTTCTTTGGACATAATTTGGGGTATGTAAAGTTCTAGGATGATGTTGATTATGCAGATTAAAAGGGGCTTTGGAAATGTGTGTGTGTGTTGTCAACTTGATTAAGTTTAAGTCTGTAAGATTCAGTGAGTCAAGGACTCAGAGAATGTTTCAAAGTGTGTTACTTTAAGTTCCTGTGACATGATCATGAAACCAAACCACGAACCCAACATCGAAAACTTTAAACTACAAAACACACACATAATCATACATGTTTCTTGAACTTCATGCGTGAGGCTCGACAACAATTGATTGGTTTCCCGTTCACTTGGACCACAGTGCTTCCGATTCCGATCCCAAACTTGTCGGACTACAACACGAGGTCAACCGTTTCTTTTCATGGTCTTACAAGGCCGGGGCATAGGCTGAAGCCTCACTAGTGTCTCACCCACATCCATATACTCCCGGCTCCTTACTTTACTTCATCACCGCCACCGGGTTCCGCTCTTTTCTCAACAAACCACGCGCTCCTCCATGTTCTCCGAGCGGGTCTCCTGCGCCCCCAGACCGCGGCGACCGGACTGACGGGTCTTCGCCGGGGCTGACGGGACACCGTGAGCCGAGCCGAGCTCCAAAGACACAGAGGCGGGGAAGAACGAAACAAAGACATGGAAGGTTAGGGATGTCCAAACTGGGCTGAGCCTACCTGTTGTGAAGAATGATCTGTCTGTCCCAGACTCTGTGGTTTTGTTGCGGGGCTCAGTGTCCAATGTGTGTTTGGACTTTCTTTGCCAAGTATGCTCAGCCGTCGTCCCTGGTGGGTCTGTCAGCAACTTAGCAACTGGGTTACCAGTCTTCTCTCTATCTATCTATCTCTCCCTCCTCTTCGACCCGATCTTTGAGCTCAACATGACCCAAGCACTGCAGCTCGCCACCCCTCCGCTCTTGGCCATCCCGCGGCCTCCGCCCCCAGCATCCGCCGAAGGGGCGCAGTCACCGTCTCCGGCATCGCCTCTTCGGCCGGTAGCGAAGGGGGAGACGGAAGGGGTGCCGAGGTGCCACAAGCCACGCATGAGGCGGAAAGCTGAGGCGTTTGAGTTGTCCGTAAATATATGGGATTGTGGTGCTTCACACTGGACATACATAGAAAGGCACTTAAACGCATGCTAACGCACCCCAAAGTAACTCCTCTAGAGGTTTTGTCAGCTTTGAAGTTCGGTCTGTCTCTCTCTCTCTCCCTCTCTCTCTCTCTCTTTTTATCGCCTCTGTCCGCTTGAGAGGCAAAGAAGCCATTTCAGTCCCAAGTCCATCTTTGTAGGTCTCTGAAGCCACTCAAAGTAACTACATTAACCAGCAGTTCCAAGACGGGGTGCGATCCATGGAGGCTAGGGGTGCCCCGTACGTCACATCCACGGCCCCTGGATGGGACAAGCCACACCACCCTTTCGTGACTCCTGGAATAGTTACATGTCCAGGTATAGTCGTGTATACATGGACTTATTGGCATGGGAATGGGGTCCTCCATATTGTTCCACATCTGTTCTTCCAAGCGCCGGCTCTCTGGCCCGTTGTCGCTGTTGCGCTTCGACTCCGGCTCCTCCGGGAAGAGGAGCGTGACCACCAGGAAGAGGTTTCCGAAGTTGAAGGGGTCCTGAAAGGGAGCGGATTCGGATGAAAACCGTTTGCGGATGAAAACCGTTGGCGGATTCGAACTCAAACAGCCTTACGTGGATGAAACGGCCGGCTCCGATTTCAGAGCATGACATCCCAATGACCAAACAGGTGGGGAAAAAGCACTCCACTTCGGTGATCTTCAGGGAACATGTGGGGATTTTTCCATGAACATGCACTCCTTTTGGTGCTTGGCAAATGCGGAGGCCGATGTCGCACCGCCGCCGCTCTGAAAAAAGGTCGACCGACCGCGGTACATGCCGCCACTCCCCGGTCGTTCTCCTCGTGACTACCGGTGCGCTTGTCGAACACCCATCGTTAAAAGGTGCCGATGCGGTGTGGATCCGGAGTGCAAAACGTCACACGTGGAGTCTGTGAATTTTCGGGCAAGTCAGATCAAACGAGCACCTTCCCTTCACCTTCAGGGCCAAAGACCAAAAGAATTCCAGCAAACCCCAGTCAGAACGTCTTTCCAGAACCAAAAGCTTAAACAAAAACATCATTCAATCTTCGTTCCTGGGTTGCTTTCAGGGTAAGACCCCTGATCACGGATAGAAACAATTCAACTTGGGCTTTCACCCAAATGGATCGGGGACGGGACGTCCCGTCTCGCGCACGCCGCGCGCGCCGATCGGCGGCTCCTGATGGATCGGCATACCAGCACCTGGTGCATTTCATATGCCAAATACGACAGTCATGGGAGTGGATTGTATGCCACCCCACCCCTGAAACATCGTGAAACCACAGACTCCATGTATGCCCAACTCCATGGCATACATGGAGTGTCTGGGTATTTAGATATTCCTATTTAACAGTTATACATGGTCAATGGTAATCATGCCTCAGCACCATGGACTTTACGCTTGCTTCAGCTTCCCCTTCCCTCGTTTACGCGATTCACTGAGTCCCAGGACTGGGACCTACTGTAGGCCGGTGTCACCGGTACGTGGCCGGATGTCATGGAGAAAGACGGACTCCCGAGCCGAGACTCCGAGGGAAATCCCTGGGAGAATCAAGGCGTATACGTCAGAGTCATAGGCTTAACTGCACGCTTTTCATGTAGGGGGGAACCCCATCCCCCACCAAAAGGTTTTGCATGTTACGGGTGGGTGTTAGTGTTCCTCTTTCAGAGTTCCCAGCAAAACGCCGGCCGTTCTTTGTGAAAGAACTTAGCACCGGAGGATCCGCCTCAACTGGAGACCAGAATCAACTGCTAGAAGGAAACAATGGGTTGAACAACTTGATTCAAGTCTTGTTCATGTCTTCTATCATAATTATATAAAATATCCTATAGACATAAACAACATAATCCAGAATGTTCAAAACATCTATGATGTCAAACCATGTCAAATGCAACAAACAAACCATTGGCACCATGGGCTGAAAGACTTGCCTTGTTCGGTCCCCGATGTGACACTGCATTTCTCTCCTTACCGCCCACCTTTCACAGCTTTGAGCACCAGTCCACTGTGCCGGGGTCGCAGCACCTGAAATCGGGAAGCTGACTCTCGGTATCCAACAAGGATCTGTTGACGGAACCGGTGTAGTATCCCTACAGGTTCGATGACCTCACTGGAGTTCATCATACAAAAGTGGTAAAAGACCAGGTCTCTGGAAGGCCTGGACTTGTAGGGTGTGTGTGTGTGTCCTCATTCATCCATTTGTGATTTGCAACAAAAACACCAACATATAAAAACAAGGTGTGTGTGTGTGTGCTGTTCGGTGGTCGACAGGCGATAAGATGTGGGGTATTGGACGTTCAATGACAACGATGTTTGTCTGCATAATAACTAAACAAGATAACGTTTCTATGTTGACTCCTGTGGAAACCAAATGGAGTTCCACAACAAAAAACACACGCAAACGCATAACACGTGGGTTGCTCCTATGGCTAAATTTAACAATTAGTTGCAGTTCTGGACGACTATAAGTACCTTGCCCTCGCAAAAATCATGCCTTATCACTTATCACCTTCCATTCATTTGCCCATGGACGGGATCCATGCTTGTGACGTTCTATGCACCAAAAAACAACACACAAAAAAGCAACCAGGACCAGGGACCAGGACCCCTCAAAAACCGGTCCTTTTTCGTTCCTCTGCGAGCTGCGGCAAAGTGGTGCCTGGGCGCAGAATGCACGGGGGACCAAACGACACCCCCGGAACAGTAAATCCCCTGTCTTGCGGAACTCCCACTCTGGATTTCCTCTCAGTTTTAGAGCCAACATTTGCCTGGCCTTACTACTAGGAACACAGGACGCTACTAGGGCCTTGATTTACTCAACTCTTTGATTTCCTCTCGGTTTTAGAGCCAGAGCCTGTGTTGAGCCACCGTTTGCGAGTGATCAAGAACATTCCACATGGGTTCACCCCCTCGCCTGCATCTTGCAGTTCGTATTCAAACGTCCTGGCCACGCAGGCAAGCACGAGCTGGAGAGAAATGGAGGGCGAAGCAGGAAATGAAAGCAGGCGACTATTGAATGCTGTTCAAAGACTCCAAAAGGGACTTGGTTGGGGAGTGCTGGCAGAGCTTAGTGACTTAAAGCAGTTTGTTACAGAATGTGTTCTTGGTGCAATCCACAGCATGAGAGTGGGCACAATGTTTTGCAGTGTGTGTTGCTCCGCCTCGTCAGTCATGTTTTGCAGTGTTTTGCATGAACCGTGTTGGATCCTGCAACCCTTCATCACCTGCATGCGGCCCCCAAAGCATGATGTCACCCATGATGTGACCCTGAAACGCTCTGATTTGTTTGGACAAAAAACAACAACTGGGCGATGGAACCAGGGCGTATGCCGTTTGACTCCTTCATTCTGGCACAAAAGAAGGTGTATTTCAGGGGAAGAACGATGTCACCAAGGCGCCCTTGAAAACATAAAGAAAAGGGTGCAAACACAATGGCAAAGGTTCAAATTTTAAAAGCGTCTGTGGCTTTGGAACACGTCTGACACGTCTTGAGCGTGTCTGGGCATGTCGCTGAAATGATGACTTTAGACTTAATTCAATGATGCGCGTGCGCATACTGCAAGGAGATTCTGGGCATGTCACGTGCAACAAACCATGTCTCCCCCAATCCGTCTTCGTCATGCACCACCTGTCTGAACAAACCCGCCACCTGTTGGATCCACCGCCGTTCCCCAGTTCGGGGGGGGGGGACATCATCTCCCTACGCAGGTCATGTGATTTTAGAGCGAAAAAGGACCTGCGATGTCCTGCGTGCCCAACTCATTCATATGAGTGCAGGGTCACGTGCTGGATCTATCACAAACTGTGATGTCTCCAGGCCAAAGTAAGAGGTGATGTCTCCAGCTCTCCAGGCCAGCGACACTTAGGTGAATTCACGTGTGATGACTTGGCCGAACAAACAGCATAACCTTAAAGGTGTGACTTGGCCGAACAAACAGAATGCCTTAAAGGATCCCCCTGTACATAACGGGGTGACCTTGGACACCCCATTCGGGGCTCGAGCACTCCCATTCTGTAGTGGAAATGCACTGGGGGATCTTAAAGGTAAACGTTGGAAAGTTTGGGTTTCGTCGGACTGGATTGGCCTGGTGGTTCCATGGAAGGTTCCCCTGGGTGTCCGTCGGACGGGTCTCGCTCTCGGACGGCTCCGTTCAGAACCCGAGACTGAGACCTGTTCAGAACCCAAAGACCCATCCAAATATACCAGGTTGCGTCCTTGTTACTACTAGTAAGGCACTTCTTACTAGAAGCGATGCACTTGTTCCTAGTAACTAATTAGCTTCTTTATGCTTCTTTGCTCCTAGTATGTACAAGGTTCTGTCCCGCAACGTCTGTCAAGATCTCACCAGGACCTCTTTTTCGGTAACAGGGCTGCAACGCCCTCCGTCGAGCAGGTGTTGGGGTATGTCGGGTATGGTTGTGGAGGGTATTGATACCCACCTGAGAATTGAGTTTGGAACATCGAAAATACACTCCCTGGAACTAACATGGAAGTGGAGAATGGCCCCTTGGAAGACCATTTTCCACGACAAACAGGCGGTGGCTTTCCACTAAGAACAGTTCGTTTTCGGGAGTGTAACAACTCTACTTCGACCCAAGAGCCCCTTGTGCTTCGTTCCCTTGGCCTTGGAACCTACCCCCCCACCCTCTCCCGCCTCTCTGCGCCCGCCAGCGCCACTCCCGCGCCCTCACCGGGTCGGCGCCGTTGTCTCCGGATGGCCAGGGCTGCCCCAACACCGGCCGCCAGCAAGACACCCACGGCCAGCACCACCAACACAACACCAGCTGGCCAGGTGGCCTTGGCGTGACCACGACACCAAAGAAAGGGGGGTCACATCATACTGTGGCAGTTCCAAACATGGATATAGAGTATTGTTGTAGTGCTGTACTGTGACGTGTGTGCGTGACATATTTGGAGGGTTGCACCACAAATATCTGACATCATTGCTTGAGGTTTATGCAGGATCTTCCTGTCAGTGCTACATGATCCCGTCCTTGCCAAGATCAAATGCTCAATATCTATAGCAACTACAGCCTCAACGTCTAGTATCTACTAAAGTGATCTAAAGTCTATAGCTATAGTTTCATCCTCTCAACTACGTGCTATCCAAACTGGTTCCTAAACTTGACCCAAACACTTTTCGCTTTGCTCGTTACCCAATCCCATCTCCAAGACTCTCACCTTCTGCTGACCATCTGGCTGACTATCTGTGTGCGTCTTCGAGTGCGACCTCGACCGTGCGTGCTTCTTGGAGTCGGGTTGAGCATCCGTGGCAGCACATGGCCTGGCGAGTCATGTCAGTTCTCAGCGAAGTGGGGCGGGTGAAGTCAGGTCATTGCCTACCTTCGGAGGTTAGGTTTTTGATGGTGTTTGGATCCAATCCAAAAGAGTACAGTACCTACTTGCAATATACATTATCATACTGAGAGTGCATAGGCGCGATGATCATGCTGGGAACAGGGAGGAACAGGAGCCTACAACGCTGAAAAGCAAATCCAAACATCCAGGGCCAAGATCTACATGCCCTTACATGGATTTGACCCATTCATGGTATTACACTCCCCAGAACTTACGAGCATGTAAATTCCCCAGGAGTTGAACAGCAGCAGGTAACAATACCAACTAACGAGGAATAAGTTTTTCGTAACAAGAAACATGACATGCAAACGCTCCAGTATTTTTAACGAGGAAGTTGGTTGAACAACTGTTCCTCGTAAGTTCTGGCGAGAGTAACATAGAGTATAATAGGATGTAATAGGTATACGACTCTTCTTCCATATCAAGTGCGAAGTAAATCGTGAAACACCAATACCCAAGTTTGTAGAAGCAACGAACAAGCAGGAGCAAGAACTTGTATCCAGCATTCAGTCACACAAGAACCTCCTGGTATGCGTGTGTGTACACCCTGGAATCACGGGCCTCTGCACAGTTTCAATGATTTAGAGGAAGGGGGCACGGCGACCGTTCGCCTAGCTGTGCTAGCACAACGTGTTCGGTTGAATGGATGAGATACTGGACCCAGTATCTTGCACCTGCTGTGTGTCTCTCCTGGGCGCATTTAAGCCGCCAATCTCAAGTGTATGTCTGTGTCTGTCTGCCGCGCAAGTATGCTAGCCAACAACATGTCTTGCTATAAAAGCCTTGGTAACCATGTTCATGTTCTACATGTCCGTTTTCTACGTGGCATGTATACGCTATACCGGCTATACCCCACCCCCCACCCTCCTCACATCATACGGTACATGCTACAAATTGCTCCTCATGTCTGTTGTCTACGTAAAGAACAACGAAAGTACCAGGTGCCCTGATGAAGCTGGTAACTACTTGGGCAATTTTTCGATATGTCTGGATGTTTGTGCAAAGGTGATTGTCCGGAACATGAAACATCATGAAACATACCTTTCGGCAATCCAGATCCACCAACTGCAAGCTGCCGTCAGTCCATGTCTACCCAGCTGCCGTCCGTCAGTCCATGTTTTCCTGGCCTGTTCTCGGGCCAGGGCTCACTGTCTTCATAGATGAGGGGTGACATCCCGCTCTGGCCTCTGCACTGAGCAAAAAGACAAACCCGGACCTCGCCTTGGACTGGGGATGTGAGGGTGATGAAGGGGGGAAGTGACTGGTCAGTACCCTCCCAAAAATTGTCCAGGATCGTCTCACGGCTGCGACGACACTGGGCGACGGGCGGGCTTTTTTGAAACGCCACCCGGGAAACGCCATGGCACCAGACTTTTGGGACGATCTTCTGACGTGTTGAATCCATCTCAGGTTCCATCTTTGGCTCGAAAAAACACCTCATCAGACTGGTGATCTGGTCAACAAAACCGATCTCCATGGGCTCTGGAGCTCCGTTGTGTGGAACCACACACCGCGCCTAGCCAGCGGCCCACAGCATCCGCCAGCATCTCTCCCTCTTCAGGGACCTGGCGCATCGTTCTTGGGCCAATGGGTGACTGGAGGGATAGGCACAGGCTTTTTGACTCAGAGTCACTATGCGGAAGTGGAAAAGAACATGTCATGCTTG